GCTCTTCCGTGAGATTGAGACCTGGCGTGGTTTCCAGGTGAGCGGTGCGGCAAGTTTGCGACCCGTTCACTCTGAAACCTAATAATGGCAGTCTGAGCTGAGGGCTGCAGGAGCTGGGGCGGGCTCCGGGAGCTGGGGATTTGGGGCCCGCGGGATGAGGATTCAGCGTGCCAGGGAGCGACCGCAGCTTCTTTGTGCCGCAGTGAGGATCGACCACGTGGATGCCGGCTGGGACGGATGCCAGACTGGATAGATCCTAGTTTGATGGGTGCCAGCCTGGACGGACTGTGGTCTGGATGGATCCTGGCCCGAAGGATGCTGGCCTGGATGGATCCTGGTCTGGATGGACCTCGTCTTGATGACCAGCCTGGACAGACACCAGAGCTGCCCCAAACCTGGAGCGGTCAAAGGGCTGGAAAGCTCCCAGCAATAAAACCAGTGCCAGGATGGCGGCTTGGGAGAGCATGGGGGGAAACTGAGGCACGGGGCAGGAGTATGCTGCCTGCATGTGATCATGGGAGAGGAGTAAATGAGGGACCCAGGCACCCGGGCCAGCTGCCCTCCCCGCTGCTGGCTGCTGGGCTTGGTGCTCTGAGGTGTGTGTTTGCGCACGTATGTGCATGCGTGTAAGGGTGTATGCATGCAGGAGTTCCCTTGCACCTGTGTGTGTGTGTGCATGTCTGCGTCTGTATTTATGCACGTGTGTGCATGTGTGTGTGCACACATGTGTGTCTGCATGTATATTTATGCACATGTGTGTTCATGCGGGTGCACATGTGTGCATGCCTGCGTGTGCATTTATGCATGTGTGCACAGTCAAGTGTGTGCACACATGTGCATGTCTGCATGTGTATTTATGCACAAGTGTGCACCCATATGCATGCACAAATGTGCGAGCCCGCATGTGTACGGATGCACGCGTGCACGTTCATGCATGTGCACACGTGTGCTCATCTGCGTGTGTAGTTATGCATGTGTGTGCATTCAGGCGTGTGCACACATGTGCCTGCTGGCATATGTATTTATGCACATGTGTGTGCACACATGTGTGCATGCACACGTGCACGTTCACACATGTGCACGTGTGCATGTCTCCCCATGCATTTGTGCCAGTGTGTGCGTTCACCCATGTGCCCGCACGAGTGTTGTGCACACACAACAACCTCACGTTGGTGTAAGCCCTGTCCCCGTTCACACAGCCCCCCCACACTTCACGCTGCAGGGCCTGGGTGCCCCTTTTCCCACCACCTGTTCACTCTGAAACCTAATGATGTCCATTGACCTGAGCACCCAGCGTAGAGCATACCAGCGTGCCCAGACCCTGCTACACTGCCAGGCGTGGTGTGCCGTGCCGTGGCTCACCCCTAGCCTCGCTCGGTGCACCCCGGGGCCGCGGTGGCATGCGAGCTGGCCCAGTTGGGTGCACGGAAAACATTGGCGGGTGCAGAGGCGGAGGTGAGGGTGTGACTGAAACTCCTGCCTGGTCACATGGGGAAGCCACAGCAGGAACCGGGGCGGCAAGAGCCCGGGTGCCACAGCAGACAGCGAGCAGCCAAGGTACCTCCTGGGTTGGCGGGGGGGGGGACGAGGAGGGGGAGGCGCA